GGAGAATCAAAATTTGGTTCATAAATGTTCACTACAGTAATTACAGTGGTACCTCGGGTTACAAACGCTTCAGGTTACAGACTCCGCTAACCCAGAAATAGTGCTTCAGGTTAAGAACTTTGCTTCAGGATGAGAACAGCAATCGTGCTCTGGCGGCGCAGCAACAGCAGGAGGCCCTATTAGCTAAAGTGGTGCTTCAGGTTAAGAACAGTTTCAGGTTAAGAACGGACCTCCGGAACAAATTAAGTACTTAACCCGAGGTACCACTGTATCATGTTTGAGGTCTTCTCCATGAAATTAAAATATTCCCCCAGCTGGATCGACTACTGTTTGTAACGCTGCAACACCATCTATAAAAACAGTGTATAAGAATAGCCGCACCCTTGGAATTATTAGAATACACATTAGCATATACTTTTCCCACCTAGTCTTCATAAAGTCTCTCTTTATCTTCCACCAGAAGATGTGTCTCTTGCAATAACACCACCTTTGAGGTGTTTTTCATTCGGAAAACATCTCTTGTCTTTCATTAGAGGAACCTCAGCCCTTAACAATTTCTATAAGAACATCTGAAGCCATTCTAAATACACTGATATACCTAGGATATTACTCCCACCTGTGTACATGAAATAATTGTGACTGTCCATCACTGCAACACTCATAAAATCTCCAAAAGCCCGAGTATATCCCCCGTCCCTGTAGGGAAGTTTTTAATGTTCAGTGTTTTATTGTGTTTTTAACATTCTGTTGGGAGCCATCCAGAGTGGCTGGGGAGGCCTGGCCAGATGGGTGGGGTATAAGTAATAAATTATTATTATTAATATTATTATCATCATCATCCAGTAGCAATCCATATGAATCATAAAGTGGTTACACCACAAGACATTTCTCCAGCTTCTGTATTGCTTTGCTGGAAACTGCTTTATCTTTATAATGTAAACATCCATAACAAAAATCCATGTTGAATGAACAAGTAAGGCCAATATTTTGTAGACACTGGTGGAATTTGATAGGCTATAAAAAGAAAATGAAACAAAAAGCGGGGTGAGGGTGGGGGTTGATCCATAAATTTAAAAAACCCTTGGGGGGGGGAAACAGAAATTAAAAAATAAAAGTAATGCTACAACCTCCAGTTCTAGGTGGCTACCTGATTATACTTGCTAAAAATTATGAACGCCTGAACCCATTTGTGCAAAATAAGAATACAAGATAAACTTTAAAATATAACCAGTTCCCCCCCTCATATTGCAGTGTATAAAACATGACACATAATGATAACAAAGTAAGAAATTCTATTCTAATAAGCATAAGATCTCAGTCAGGATTTCACTCTGGCCTAGCCACATTGTATAGCAATGACGGTAAACTGAAGACACTTCAGATGTCTCAATTCCAGCAGAGAAAGAGCAAAAGAAACGGCCTTAAAGAGCTCAAATATCTCACTCTTCTGACCTAGAGTCCTGTGCTGGATTTGTTCCAAGGAGGTATTTCCCAGCATCATCCCCTTTATGAAATGAACATTCGTGACCATTCAAATAAATGCAAAATATTACAGAGAATGCTACATAGCAGGTGATATTCTTCTCTTTCGCAAGTAGGCACTCTCTGAGGAAAGTTTTGTGCTGGTCAGACACTTGTTTTTCATAATTTTGAAATTTCAAAATATGATGCCAAAAGCAGCAGCATGATCTCTATTGCTGGGCTATTGGTGAAGAAGCCCATGGGTTGACGACTGGAGGTAGACAGCAGGTTGTCCTGGGGTGAGAAACCTGGGGGAACCAACTGTAGAACTTGCATGTGATCAAAGAGCTGATCTCAGATGACAAGGTGCAGTGATGGCTGTCAGGAGGCCTCTGAATCCAGGACTTATGGAGGCGGTCAGCTTCCATAAAGAGATAAGCTCCTAAGGTCTATACCTTAGGATATAGACCTTAGTACAAGGATGCTACAAGAAAGGATAGTACAAGTAGCATAGCAAGTGTTTTGCACTCCGAAGGTCCCAGGATTGGCCCCTCTGTGAATCAGGATCAGATAACAGGGGATGGGAAAGGTGCTGTGTCTTGGGACCCTGGAAAGTCATTGCCAGTTTGAGCAAACTGCACTGGGCTGGAGAGATGAATTAAGGCAGCCTGTGTCGCTAAACCAGAGCTTTCCAAACTGTGTGCCGTGAAACATTAGTGTGTCGGCTGCAGTGTGTAGGTGTGTCACACGAATCCTGCCCGTGCTCCTCCCAGGGTTGGAAAGCAGTTAGTTTAACCTGTTTGCTAGTAAAACTGAATTACTGTGTTGTGAAATGATGCATCTCTAAAAAGTGTGCTGTCAACATAAAAAGTTTGGAAAGCTCTGCGTTAAAGGATCCTCATTCCACTGCTTGCTTTCCTCCACAGTGAAACCAATCCTTGCCCCAGCCCTAAAGCCACTGGGTGTCAGATTTCCCAGTTCAGACCCTGATCTGCCATTGATTCCAGTCTTCTGCTGGATTGGCCCCTCTGTGCTCCAGCACCCCAGTGGCCTCTGATCCCACTTCTGCCAGCATTTAAATTTCCATTTAAACTGAAGGAGCGTCTCCACCCCCATCGTTCTGCCTGGACACTGAGGTCCAGCTCCAAGGGCCTTCTGGCAGTTCCCTCACTGCAAGATGTGTGGTTACAGAGAACCAGGCAGATGGCCTTCTCGGTAGTGGCACACGCCCTGTGGAACACCTTCTCATCAGATATCAAGGAAATAAACAACTATCTGACATTTAGAAGACATCTGAAGGCAGCCCTGTTTAGGGAAGTTTTTAATGTTTGATGTTTTATCGTGTTTTTAATATTCTGTTGGGAGCCGGATGGGCAGGGTAACAACAACAACAACAACAACTTATTATTATTATTATTACTACTACTACTACTACTGAATTGCCTATGGTGCTGCCACAGCCTTCCCCAGCATACTGCCCATTCTTCTGGGTTGCTGTGCCCAATCTCTTAAGCCAGGGCCAGGGAACATTTTCCAGCCTGAGAGTCACATTCCTTTCCAGGCAAGCTTCCCTGGGAGTCACATGCCAGTGCTGGGTGAGGCATATAGGTAAAAGTAGGAGGAGCAGTTCATATAAAGCAATTCTATACATATTTGCATACCCCTCACCGTATTCTCCACCCAGGCAAATGATAAGCATTATCAGAGGGCAAGGACACACCTCTCTCTCATATATATATATATATATATATATATATATATATATATATATATAATACACACACACACACAGTGCTTTTTCCTGAGGTATGCAGGATTATGCATACCACTAAACATTTTGTGAATCTTTGTACTTTTGTCCATTTACTGTATTTATTTTTCCCGATTTGAACTATAAAATGGTGATTTTCTTGAGTCAAAATGAGAGTACCCCTAAACATTTTTTTAGGAAAAAAGCACACACACACACATATATATTATATATATGAATGATAAAAGTATACAGTACACACAAAAATTAAAACATAACTCAAGCCATAAATCTATCCTTTAACCAGGCAAGCAAGATGCATTATCAGAGTTAAATTAGGACAGATTCCAAAAACACTCAAGATGGGTGCAAAGCAAGGCAAGGGAGGGGTGTGGCCTGTGGAGGGTCCTGTTGGCCAGAGAGAGATGCCTGGGGGCTTCAGATCCCTCCCTCCTGCTCCAGTCTGTTCCCTAGAGGTGCCCTTTACTGATCCCACACCAAAGACTACATCCCACCATGCATAATGCAGAGATCATTATGCACCCGTGAGCCTTGCTCATCCTTCTTTCCCTTCCCTCAGAGATGCTTTCAAACTTTTTCTCATTTGTGCAGAAGTGCCAAGCCACTGAGGACCTCCGCAACTGGCCAGCGTGCTGGTACATGCCGCCCACAGCAAGTTAGGAATTAGATGCCCACTCGTGTGTGTTAAGTGTTCCGTCTTCATTGGAAACAAAAGCAGGTTTTTCCTTAAGGGGAAAGCCTCTCAGATCTCTCATTTTCCATTTCCTGTTATTTATCTAGCAGGTTCTTCAAGAGGTGAAACAGATGGTAAAACAAGCGAAATCAGACTTGAAATAGAATCCGTCGGTGTCTGGAAGCTTTTTAACCTAACCTTGTACTAATGCAGTACAGACAAGTGAGGTCATTTGCCCGGTTTTTACAGCAACCCATTCCAAATGCTTTAGGAATTATCCCAACACAGTGTGCTAATACACAGCCCCGTTTCCCACCACCCATTCCTAATCCCGAAGTAAAGAGGCCAAAGTTAAATCAGGGCCAGAGAAATGCCTGCAGAATCAGGATGGCATTGTGGGAAGTATTGTCTAGGCTCTTACCGGATGTTTGGGTTGTATGTTAAATAAGGAAATGTGGGAGGGGTCTGTGAGGATATGTGTGCTGACTCCATCTCCCATTGCCCTCTCCATTGCCCCCCACAAGGTGAAGAGTGACCATCTGAAGCAAGGAGCCTCCTGGGAAATCAGGTTCCTGCATCACTCATGAAGTTCCCAACAGTAAAGGAAGCTCCCTGCTTCATTGAGGGCAGCAGAGATGGTGGCCAGGGGGCGGTTGCACCGTGCTTAGATGATTTTGAACCTGTGAAATCAGCCTCCACTAATTCCTCCTTGCTTTGCCGTGCAGTGTACGGGGGGGGGGGGGATGATGCAGCCTCCTTTTGACCCACCAGCTCCGTTGGACCTGACAATGATTTTCAATGCATAATGGATTAGCACTTAGCCCTGACAAGCCCGCCTCCTTGGCTGCCCCCACGGGTTAATGAAAGACAAATCAGCTCCACTGCTGTATCTCTGCTCCCTTGCATAAGGCACTCTGCTTTCCAGCGTCTCCTGGAATCAAATGCATTTCCAAAGGCTTTCGGGAAGGGTAGCACATCCGGCTAGGAGGAGAAGTTGATTTCTAAAGGATATTGGGACACGCAACTTGTCTCATTGGATCAGACCAAGATCCAATCAGACCCAAGATAAAGAAGCTACGGCCTTTCAGAGGTTGGGGAAGGGCTGTGGCTCAGTGGCAAAGCCTCTGCCTTGCATGCAGAGGGTCCCAGGTTCAATCCCTGGTATCTCCAAAGGTGCCTTTGAAACCCTAGGGCAGGAATCCCCAAACTTGGCCCTCCAGATGTTTTGGGACTGCAACTCCCATCATTCCTAGCTAACAGGACCAGTGGTCAGGGATGATGGGAATTGTAATTCCAAAACGTCTGGAGGGCCGAGTTTGGGGATGCCTGCCCTAGGGAACCACTGTCAGTCAGTGTAGACAGTGTCTATGACAGCTTCCTATGTTCCCATGTTGTTGGACTCCAGCTTCCATCAGTACCAGCCAGCATGACCAATGGTCCATGATGGTGGGAGTTGTACAATGCTCTCCCCCGGGAGGCTGGCCTGGCGCCTTCATTATACACCTTTAGGCACCAAGCAAAAACATTCCTCTTCAACCAGGCCTTTGGCTGATTAACATTCTATGTCCTTTTAAATGTGTCTGTGGGAAGGGGGTTATTAGTTTGGTTTGGTTTGTTCTTGTTTTTATTTTTATTATGTACTTTGTGTTTTTATTTTGCATTTTTATGCTGCGAACTGCCCTGAGATCTTTAGCTGAAAGGTGGTATAAAAAATTAACAAATAAATACAAAAATTAAAATACACAGGGACCTCTTCCAGCTCCATCTGAAGAGGCCAATGATAGCACGTAAGTTGTGAACATATCTGAACGATTTACTTGTAAAGCATTGTTTTGTGCAACCAAGGAAACTGTCTTATGCTGAGCTAGACCACTGGTCCCTCTAGCCAGGGCCAACCCTGGGGTAAATACTATCCTGGGCAAGGATTGTGCCTGTTCTCCCCCCTCCCTGGTCAGTTTTGCAGGGCCACCCAGAGGGTTGATAGGGCCTGGTGCAGGTGTGATGTTGGGAGGGGGCACACATGTATATACAAAGCTGGGAGGCCCATGCAGGCATTATTTCACACATGGACTACAAAGTCTCACCTGCAGCTCCTCCTTGCCCTGTGGTCAAGCAGAATGACAGATGTGCTTCATTTTTTATTATATGTGGATAAGGGAGTAAGGATTGGATTGTACTCTTCCTGAGTACCTCCTTCAAATCCCTTTGGCAGAGCTTCTTTCTGCTTCCTGGATTGTGGCCTGCTGCCGAACTTCTCCACTACTCACTCAGGAAGGTCCTGGGTCATCCTGCGGCTTTTCTTGTGGTAACTGTTGCAAAAGAATTGTCTCCAGTGACACCTTGCCTAGAAATATTAGATGGCATTCACTCTTCATTTTTTTAAAAAATAATATTTATTATTTTTCCAGAAACTTAAACACTAAAAAAAGACAATGCAAAACATTAAATTAACAAAACAGAAACAATACAATAAATCAAACAGTTTCATTATCCCATCTTTCACTCACTTATTTCCGTGACCTCCTCACACCTCCCTTTTTGTATTCCACTTCTGATAATTATTTCAGCAGTTCCTTTCCATCTTCCTCTGATTTCTATCCTTTAATTATCTTAACAGATTCTAACCTTATTTTTTCCTTTAATGCTCTACTAACCTATCTGTACTTAATTCCTTATAACATTTCTACTAAAGCCATATAACTTCATTCCAACATTTTTCTAACATTCATTAATTTTACAATATTTCTGTAAATAGTCTTAAAAATTTTTCCAATCTTCTTCCTCCGACTCTGCTCCCTGGTCTCGGATTCTGCCAGTCATCTCCGCCAGTTCGATATAGTCCATCAACTTCATCTGCCATTCTTCCAGAGTGGGTAAATCTTGTGTCTTCCAGATGGCATTCACTCTTCAGTGGTGGCCAATGATATGCACGGGACCCAAGGCAAGAGCCCCCTTGTTTTGTGCAAGTTTCCCCACTCTGGGCAGCCTTCAAGCTTTGCAATTTATGGCTTGTGCAAGACTGAAAAACACAGCTCTCCAGATATCTTGGGCTGCAATTCCCATCAGCCCCAACTTGCATGGAATGGGGGGGGTGGAGAAATTTGGTTCAGTTTTCATTTAAAGGCAAACCTACCTAATTGACACTTTTCAAAACAATATGCAAATGGAAACGCTGCATTCCTTCAAAATTCATAGTTCTCTGAATTTTGCAATGCCGTTTTCCAAGTGATGTGTACAAAAATGCATAAAGTGTGCATGGAGATGCATATGCTAGAGAAAATAATGTACAAAATGCATTGTATCAAGGAAATTGCTTTGCGAAATTTTGTATTGGGGGGGAATCACCCTAAGGGTGGATGAATTTTCATGAGGCTTTTAAAAAAATGCAAACTGATTTGTCAATGTTGAGAATTGAACCTAAGATTGGAAAAATGAGAAATGGAGAAAAATGAAGATTGGCCGATTCAACCGTCCCTAGTTGGCAGAGGCTGTAGCAGAGCATGAGCGAGAGAGAGGCCCACTAGGATATGTCTTCATCCCCTGTTGGGGTTTAGTCTACCGTTTACTCTCAAGACATTAGCTAAGCAGCATAATCAAGGTGACACAAATTATGCGTGTATCTCTCTTCCTTGAGCCATTAAAAAAAACCAAAACCCTTTATTACCCAAGATGCTTTGAGCACTTCAAATCATTTAAGGACTCATCTTCTCCACTAATGGATCTCTCTCAGATGAAAACATATTCATATTTATGTACAACACAGGCATCCAGTTGTGATTAAATTTGTATGGCACAACAGCATGGAAGCCATCGCCTTAACAAGCGAACAATGTGAACAGAGGAGGAAATATCATTTCTTAGTGCCACGGAAATATTTTACGAATTCTGTCTCTCTCCCCCTCCCCTCCTCACTCATGCTCTCGCGCACGCACACATGCGCACACAAACCAATTCACCTCATCGTCATGAGGCACTTGAGGCACACTTGAGGCAGGAAATGCAGTCAATGAAAAACGCAAATCTTAGGGAGGAAATCTGTTTTCAAAGCACACGATGCATTCCTTTACAATAAGGACCTAATAGGTACCACTGGAGCGGTACCTATTTATCAACTTGCACTTCGACGTGCTTTCAAACTGCTAGGTTGGCAGGAGCAGGGACCGAGCAACATTAGCTCACCCCGTCACGGGGATTCGAACTGCCGACTTTCCGATCGGCAAGTCCTAGGTTCTGTGATTTAACCCACAGCGCCACCTGCGTCCCTATGTAATGGAAATAGTTTTCTTTAAAAATAAATTCAAAAATCAGGGTGGCCTCAAGCTGCTCACGGAGTGTTGTTTTTCCTTTCTTTTCTTTTCTGAAAAGGTGGGATGACAAAGGAACAACACCATTAGAATAACCTATTAAGTCCATAGTTCCCAAGTCATGCAAAGTAACAGTTCCACTTTATTCCGCATAGAATCATAGAGCTGGAAGGGACCCTCAGGGTCATCACGTCCAACCCCCTGCCATGCAGGAATATGCAGCTGTCCCATACAAGGATTGAATCTGCAACCTTGGCATTAAGCACACCACACTGTAACTCCTGCCGCATACTGCATCAGCTGGAGCTCCCAGACCAGGCCCAAGGGCAGCCCTCACCTAGATGCATGGCAGTATTGCCTAGTGATCAAAGCTGGCAGCAGCTCGGCTGGGCCTGTTCTGTATCGGCCTTCCAATCATGCTAAGCCTGCAATGGTTTGTTGGTTTTAAAAGAAAACAACTGGCAGGGGGCTGGGGCGTTGGATGGGAACACTTTAGCTATTTTCATTAAGCTCCAAATTCTGTAGGTGGCAAATAACTTGCGCAATTCCCAGCTCTCCTGAAAATGTGGCTGCAGCAAAAAGAGATTAGTTGTTTTAGGCTGTAAATATTTGATGCCGCTGCCATCAAGTAAGAGATGGGGGAGAAATTGCATCGGGATGCAACTCTGAAAGTGGGTTGGGTTCTGAGGCCCGATGTAAACTAGCGTTGGCTCTTCTGGTCCAAGCCATCCACTGGGCAGAACGAGAGAGAACTGTTTTGAGGCCTAAAAGTGCAGGTGGACTTCAGCAATACTGAAAGGTTTGCATTTCTAAGAACTGAGGCAGGTGCCGCTTTTCAGGGCTTGCTTACAAAATAACTACTCCGAAAATAGCCCATTCATGTGAGCACAGCAAGAGAAATCATTCGCAGGAGTTTACAGAGGCGCCTGACGATCATCTATTCCAGCCCCCTGCAATATGCAGCTGTCCGAGCCCTGCGGGATCAAACCAAAGGCCTGTCTTAAAGGTAAAGGTAAAGGGACCCCTGACCATTAGGTCCAGTCGTGACCGACTCTGGGGTTGCGTTGCTCATCTCGCTTTATTGGCCAAGGGATCCAGCGTACAGCTTCCGGGTCTTGTGGCCAGCATGACTAAGCCACTTCTGGAGAACCAGAGCAGTGCACGGAAACGCCGTTTACCTTCCCACCGGAGCGGTACCTTTTTATCTACTTGCACTTTGATGTGCTTTTGAACTGCTAGGTTGGCAGGAGCAGGATTCAGGAGTGGCCTTGGAGTGGCCTTGGATTCAGGAGTGGCTGGCAGAGGAGGCTGGTGTGGTGTTGCTTACCTGGCAACCCAGCGCGGAGGTTGCTGCCAGTAACCCAAAACATGTGGGGAGATTGGTACAGCATGGGCACAGCCAATCCAGTGACACTGCACACACCAGCCTGCTGGGCCCAGTTTAGTCCAGCAATCCATTCTCACAGTGCCCAGCCAAATGCCTCTGGGAAGCCTGCAACAGGACCTGAGCACAGCAGGTCCCCAGCAACTGGTATTCAGAAGCATTATTGCCTCTGCCAGTGGAGTTGGAACATAGCCATTGTGGCGAGTAACCATGGACAGCTGTAGCTAAACTATGGCTACTTGATCCCATAAGAGACAGTGATGGCCACCAACTTCAGTGGTTCTGACCGAGCATTAGACAGATTCAAAGGGGAGGAGGCTATCAAAGGGTGCAGAGGTGTCAACTTGAATAAAATATGGGGTGGCAGGTGAGCCCCAACCCACATGATCAATCACAAGATGTGGTTCATTTGAATGGCAATGCCCATAAGCTGGGGGAGGGGCCTGGCCCCCTCAAATATTTTACTGGGGGGTGGGCAAAGGGACTTCAGCCCCTAGGAGTTGGTTCTTACGGATGACTGTAACAATGGCTATGTTACGCCTCCATTGTGAAGGGGTTGCTGTGGATCAGAAATGGGCGGGTGTGGTTTTGCTCCAGTCCTGCTTGGGGCATCTGATTGGCCACTGTGAAAACAGGAGGCTGGACCAGATGGGCCTTTGGCCTAATCCAGCAGCTGAGCTCGTCTCATGTTCTTCACTTCAAAGCCCTTCCTGTTCTCCCTTCTTCCAGTTCTTTCAACTGGAGGTGGGCCAGCCAGCCCTGTAAAGTGGGGAACGTGGCCGCCCCAGATTGAACTGCGCTATTTTTCTGCCCGAGGGCTCAAGGAGAAGCCTGCCTCCATCCTGGGAGCTGCAATGCCAGCTTGGGGCAACAGTTCCGCTCCCGCGGTTTCCTTTTATTTCTGTGGTGCTTTTTGCTTTCTGGCAAGAGACACTGCCACTTGGCAGAGATGGAGCTTTCCATCTGGAAGCCCTGAATGGAGACAAGTGTGATGTTGGCGGGAACATGGGGACATGTCTCTGCCCTCTCAATGGCCCCATTACTGGTCTCTGGGACTTTCTAGCAAGCAGGAGGGGCGGCACACAGCTTTCCAAGCCGGTTTGAGCTGTCGGGGAAAGAAGACAGTCACTGGGCAGTGATTACTGATGGAGAGTAGGGGTGGGAAGGCCTTTTTGGCTGAAGGACCACATTCTTTTCTGGGGGGCCACATGCCCCTGGTGGGCGGGGCCAGAGGCAAAAGTGGCCGGAACACTGGGTGCCCATTTCACCTTTATACGGGAGGCTAGTTTTAACTCTTACTCACACACCTCTCTCCATCCTCCATCCAGGCATGTAAGAGGCACTATCAGAATTCCAAGCTGCTGGTTCTCACCCCTGAAGCTTTAAACCAGCCTTCACCAACTTGTCTCTCTCTGGATGCTTTGGACTACAGCTCCCATCAGATTAGCACTCCCACCATCCCCATTCTAAGCTCCTGTCTGCAAGGGAAGAGGAGTCGTCAACCACCCTGCCCTCCCTTGTGGGCAGATAGAGAAGATGTTGGTGGGAAAGCCAATCTGCAATTGCCTCTGTAATCACAGTAAATCAGCTGCAGTGGAAGCCAGTGGGTTGGCTCTCGTGTGCTGTCTCCAGCCCCATAGGGAGCAGGCAGGAAGTGTTCCATCTCACAAGGTGAGCCAGTACCCCTGTCGGCTCCATCTGATCGAGTGCAACAGGGGTATTGTACAGCAGATGACTTGGGAAATGGGAAAGGGCTTAACATCAGACAGAGTACTGAAGGCATCATCACCTAAATTGGCCTTTGGGGAGTGAGGGAATGTTCCACGCAAGGCCAGATTTCTGTGTCAGGGTCATTGCTACATCTTTGCAGGCAGTTTGAGGTTCAGGAACAGGGAATATGGAGTCTTGATGGGCCAGTTCACTTCAGGTTCCTATGGCCAAAGAGTCAAGTCTCTTGTCTGGTTTGAAAAGTGGCTTGATTCTTTGGCAGCAGTGTAGTGGTGAATTTTGAAGTGCGGGACCTCATCATAACAGCCCACATAGGCAAGCCCAAGGGAGAGTTTAAAAAACACAGGCTCTAATGTGTTTATGTTTTGATACACACCCAGGAATCAAAGAGCGATAGTACATAGCAAGAATACACAGTTTAGCAGCAGAACTGCAATTCTATGCGGATTTTCTTGGGCGTGAGCTTTATTGAACTCCACAGTGCTGACTTCTGAGCTTTACGTATTGACCTTTAGCAAAAGATCTTTAGTCAGCTGAAACACCACCTTTGGGTTTTAATTAGGAATGCAAACTGTATTGCAAAAAAGTGTTACCATTTAGATTGCTAGCGTGAAGGAAGAACCTCATCAAAGGAAAGGAAAGAAGAATCCAGTCTATGTTTGTTTGTTACTCTCCATATTCTCTGACTTCACTGATGCCAGAATGTCACAAACAAACTTGAAAGCTTCATTATCCCTTTGGTCACTTTTCAGAACAATTATAGTACCTTCCTGCTCTGGCAGACGACAGAATTGCTCCTACTATAAAAAATGTCCTGCACTCTACTGCACCATTGTGCAGTGAGAACTAATGCTGTGAGTGAAGCTGTGGCTGCCTGTGTTGTCCTCTCCTGTTTCTGCTGGTGCCCTCTCTGAATCCCAGCTCATGGACTGGAGGAATCAGGTGGAACTACCTCAATAAAAGCCATGTAATTAGAATATTGGGAAACAGCATCCATTTTTGAGCTTTACTTTGCCCTTCTGAATACAGTGGTACCTTGGGTTAAGAACTTAATTCGTTCCGGAGGTCCGTTCTTAACCTGAAACTGTTCTTAACCTGAGGTATCACTTTAGCTAATGGGGCCTCCTGCTGCCACCGCTCTGCCGTCGCACAATTTCTGTTCTCATCCTGAAGCAAAGTTCTTAACCCGAGGTACTATTTCTGGGTTAGCAGAGTCTGTAACCTGAAGTGTCTGTAACCTGAAGCGTCTGTAACCTGAGGTACCATTGTACTGCCCTTTAACAAACCAGGAGTTGTTTTTTGCTGTTCTCCATTCCCTTCCTCCTTCATCATCGACACTTTTCAGCAGCTCTGGTACTGAGGCCTTGCTGAGCTCTTCATTAACTAACCTTGGCAGGGTTTTATTTTTGTCCATACCCCCCACCCCCCAAAAAGCGCCCCTCCCTTCCCCCACCCCCTCGCACTCTACTTGGCAGATTTTCCTTTTCTGATGTTGTTGTCTTGCCATCACCCTATTCATTTTCCATCGGCTGCCTTCATTCTCGTGGCCTTTTGCAGCTAGGAGACAAGGCGTTGCCTTGGTAACAAAGCCCTTTAGATGGTTGGAAGCTCTGGGATCACTGCGCTCAGTCCTGAGTACTTTCTCTTTTTTATGTTATTTTTATTAACCAGACAAAGATCCATCAGGCTCGCTGCTAATGGAACAGTAACCAAGGGAGATGGAGGGGAGGAGCCTGCCATCCCTGACCGCACTCCTTCCGTCACCAGCACCTTCCTCCCTTCCTTCTCCTCTGCAGCACATTGCTCGGCAGAATGTCTGCAAGGAAACTGCAACTTCTAAGAATAATATCTCAGAAAGAGAGCAGGGGGAGGGTGCTATTATTTGTAAGCTCAGCTAAGGTAAGAGCAGTGTCCAGTTCAGGAAAGCTCAAGGGAATACGGGAGTCCACACTGACTGGCAGCAGCTAGGGATTGAAACCTGGGACCTTCTGCATGCAAAGCAGATATTCTAGCACTGAGCTTTGCCCCTTCCCCAGAAAAAAAAAAATACCTTTTCTGTCTTGGCTTACTATGTACCTTGAACATAGAAAGCTGCATTATATTGAGTCAGACCTTTTATTTCATTCAAAATCATTTATGAACTACGTGTGTGTGTGTGTGTGTGTGTGTGTGTGTGCTGTGTACGAGCAAACAATATATCACAACATCAAAGCAAAAACTCAACCTACAACAACAGAACAGCAGTATAAAAGCAGGTTACACAGAATATCAAGGACTCAAACACACAAAATGGCGCCCAGTCTTGTTGACCAAAAGATAAGCCTTCACAAGATGTCTGAAGCATTGGTCCATCTAACTCAGTATTGTCTACACACCTATTGGCTGTGCTTCTCCAGGGTTTCAGGTAGGGGACATTCCCAGCCTTACCTGGTGATGCTGCTGGGGATTGAAACTGGGGATTGTACTCCATCAGCCTACAGGATCAGTTATATCTTAAACCATATACACTGGCCAACATCACTGGCATACAAACCTGCTGTTTGATGTGTTCTGCTACCAGGGATCCACAAAAGCACCCACTGGCTCACTATTTTTTTAATTATTCTGGAAAGAAAGGCTCAAAGAGAACCCCACCCTTGGGAAGGGGGAAACTGGACTCTCCTTGAGATTGTGCTGAGACTGGCAGAAGGTTCTCCTGCAACAGGACTTGAGTTCTAGCCAGGTGGTGTTGTCTAAACCCCACCTTGTTGGGAGGAGCAGAGTCGTGCACACTGACACACACACACACACACACACACACACACACACACCCCGATGCTTTGGCTCAGCCCCTGTTCTGGCTGTTCTGGCTGAGGCACCAACAGAATGACTAAACGTAATTGATTGTGTCCACAGGTGTCTGTTCTCAAAGCAACTTGTTGTCTGATATTTTGTTTTTATGAGTTTTTTAAATAATGGCAACGGGTTAGGCAATTTAAAAAGACTAGTATATTGAAGCAAACTATATCATGATAGTGTTAATTCAGTTTCACTTTCTTTTATTAATTTGAATTACTTCTCCTTTTTCCATTTCCCTTTATTATATCATACAAGGAATTATTTTTTTTTCCTTTATGGAGCACTGACCTTTGTTGACAATCTCCTTATAGTTATTGTGAGGTATAAAGAGAGAAAAACCCCTCGTGTTCTGGAGAAGAGGCTGAGCTGTGAAACAGGAAGCCCCCGGCTCAAATCTGGTCTCTGCCATGAACTTCCCCAACCGGGTGCCCTCCAGATTTTCTAGACTACAACTCCCATCAGCCCCAGCTAGGGGTGGACGAATCTATCTACTTCAGTTCCTCATTTCTTCAGTCTTAAGTTCAGTTCTCCACATATCTGCATCAGTTTGCCTTTTAAAAAATAAAATCAATAATCCTGAACAGAATTCCTCAGCCATTTTAGGGTAAAGTGCTCTTAATACACACATTTTTTTGCTGGGAATTTTTCTTGATATATTTTATACATTATTTTCTCTAGTATATACATTTTTATATACTAATATATGCATTTTCGTACACATTCTTCCACTGGAGACCTGCACCACAGAATTCAGAGCAGTGTGAATTTCAAAGGGTAGCTGTGTTTTGGTTAGCATAATGTTTCAGAAAGTGCAAACTAGGGAGCTTTGAAATAATAATAATAATAATAATAATAATAATAATAATAATAATAATTTATTTATTTATACCCCGCCCATCTGGCTGGGTTTCCCCAGCCACTCTGGGCGGCTTCCAACAGAACACTAAAATACAATAACCTATTAAACATTAAAAGCTTCCCTAAACAGGGCTGCCTTCAGATGTCTTCTAAAAGTTTGGTAGTTATTTTTCTCTTTGACATCTGGTGGGATGGCGTTCCACAGGGCGGGTGCCACTACTGAGAACTAAAGTTCCAACTGAACCAAATTTATCTGGCCCTCCAGCCGCCCAGCACCAAGCTAGGAAAGGGTGTTTGGCTAGATGAACCTAAAGAACCTACTCTCTTTCCCAGTTTCATCCCTACAATATGGTGGATAATCAGAGCTGGCCCAGCCATGAGGTGAAGAATGCCTCAGGGCAGCAGGCTCCTGAGGGTGGCACCACCATTGCGCACCCTCTGTGCACCACCACTGGGTGCCCTCCACTCGCCCCCTCTGGGCACACACTCTCTGGCTCCCAATACTGTCAGTTGCTCGCTGCCTCCTCCTGCTCTTCTGCCACTGCAGCTGTGCCCCTGCCTCAGCCGTGCCCACCACTGCAGCTGCACCCCACCACTATGGCTCACTCTTTGCCATGCCTCCTCCATCGCTGCTTGGAGGTGGCCCAGGGAAGCACCAGCATGCTGGGTGGGGTGGAGCATAGCTGTGGAGGACGCCGAGGCAGGGGCATGGCACAGTTGCTGAGGAGCAGGAAGCAGCAGCAGGCATCCAGCAGAAACGACCACCTGGCAGTGGCAAGCAGTGGGCAGTTGGTGGCTGTGAGGACAGGAAGTAGTGGTGGAGCATGGCACCAGGGGTTTTGCCTCAGGCAGCAAAATGTCCTGGGCCAGCCTGGAGATAATAATACAAACTTGTCTTGTTATAAGGAGCACAGCAGCAATATCTGTGAAGCACCATGGAAACTTAAAGCAGTGCTCAAATTACCAGGCAGAGTGGAGTTAGGAAGTTGAATTGTGTTTTTTAAAACAAAAACAAAACAAAAAACCCTCACCCTGATTGCTTCCATGTAGCCAATTAATCTCTAGCAGCAGCTATAAACAGCGGCAACTCCAAAGGTTCGGAGGCCAGGCTGAGCACGGTTGCAAAGCTTTAAATAAGTCCTGTTATCATTATTAATTACTCAGAGCAGTGTATCTTATCAAGAACATGTCCAAGGATGGGCTTTTCACCTCTGTGGAGAATATCTCCACTCTCAAACCAAAATCCAAAATAGTACCCATGTTAAATGGTCCGCAAATTAATGATGGAAAAATGTCACCTGGCAGTGATCTATCGGGGGCGGGGGGATGATTGCATGCACTGGCATTAAAGGCAGATGTTCCACCAGCCATGCAAATGGAGCTGGCTAGCAGGCTGCAGAACTCGTCCAAATTTGGTAACCTGCGAGACATCACTACTCATGGTCAGGAAGGAAGGAAGAAGTTGTTTTAGCCACTGAAAAAGAGCAGCTGAAAGAGGATCAGATCTGATGGGCATAGAGTGTGACAGAGGCAGTAAGATGAGAAAATGCAAATTTAGAGAAGATATGGGTGGTGTGGTCTACTCTTTTTTAAAAATACAATCGGACACACATCTGTAGTTAAATACAGCTCACATTGGATGATTTGTAGGGTGCTCCCTTCATGCTGGGAAGCCGCGCCGTGCTAAGGACCCAGTAATTAGTTGCCTGTTCAGAGCTCAGCGCTGGAAGGTGGGGACAAATATTCACGCTGTAATTAAAGTAGCAGAATTGTCAGCACATGGGAGATCTGGGAACATCATCTGTAGGCTGCAATGGACTGCCCATGGGAAGGAGCCCCTGTCGTTACAGAATGCTCATGCCCTCCTTTCTTTACCTTGTGTTAACTCACAATAAATACACACTGTGCATATATATGGTGCTATTTTTCTAGAAAAAGTGTTGCCGGAACTCACCGTGAATTTCTTCCTTGTTCTCTGAGAATGGCAATGGCACCCACCTGAGAGGTGCTGGAGCTGAGCTCTGGTGAGCTCTGGCTGGGGAAAAAACCCTCCAGATATAAATATATATATAACATTTAACTGCTATGTTGAGAGATGGAGGCGTTTTCCTTTATGTTCCTAGATTTCCCCTGTAGAGAATCACAGCAATTATGGAGGGAGAGTAGGGGTCAAACTTGATCAGCAAAATAGCATGGAGGGAAAGGGTTAGATATAGCCCTCCCCATTTGACCACCCTGACTGGGTGTGAGAGGGCAATGCTTACCTTGATGCCAGATTTTAAAACTCCTCAGATTTAAAATGTCGCCTTTTTTTGGTCCTAGAAGCTTTATTCCACATACCAAAAGTATTCCCACCCATTTTAGCCATTTCACAAGTTGCTGGTCAGAATCAAGACCATGTGAATAGTTGCAATGCTTCAGGTGAAAAAGAAGACAGGACTCCTGCACCTTTAATAGCTTTGTGACAAGCTACAGCTACTGGCAGGGCTCCTGTACCTTTAAAAGCTCTCACTCTCTCCACACTCACCAAACAATTAAAGTTTCAGGAGCCCTGTCTTCTTTTTCACCTGGCCACTCTAGACCATAAAGAAAACAAGCCCCTTCAATTATTCTGTTGGGGACACCGTGGCTCCAGGTGACAGGGAAAACCATAGCCAACAGGCCCACCAAGTTCCTTGCCCTGTAGCGTTCACTCCAGGAGGATTGTGGGAAATTCAAGATGGCAGACTGCCTTTCAGCCACTGCAAGATAAGCCAAGGGACTGAGGGAGGGCTGGACCAACAGTTAGCATTGCTGGGAGCCATTTATTTATTTATTTATTTATTTCTGCATCTTTAGCCCATCTTTCCTCCAAGAAGCCCAAGGTGGTATGTATGGCTCTCGTACTCCTCCATCTTACCCATACAACAACCCTGTGAGGTAGGTTAGGGTGCAAGTTGGTGGCTGGCCCAAGGCCCCCCATGAGCTCCATCACTGAGTAGAGGTTTGAACCCTGGTCTCCCAGGTCCTAGTATGACACTCTCACCGCTGCCCCACACTGCCTCGTGGATGCCTACCAGTGCCACTGGCCCCAATCCTTCTCTTTCTCTTTTCTTGTTCACAGGGGAACAAGAACTGGGGCAAGGACTACATCCCCCCATACCTTACGCTTAGTGCATGCCTGCCCAGCAGTAATTCACCATGATAAATAAATAGCATTGCTCTGTAGTTATAAGCCTCAGAGAACCCTGAGACTGTAGCAGTTGAAAAACAGAGTGGTTTTTTTAAAGAAAAGAAAAGAAAGAAAATGGGAAAACAGCCAGGGTGGGAAAAGGAATAATTGTGGCACC